AAATAGAAGTGCGTACCTGAGGCCCCTGTTCGACACCGCTCCTGAAGGGGTCGCCGACCACGTGTTTCGGGGCATGGGCCTTGGACTTCTCCACGAACTCGTCGTACACGCGCTCGTGCACGAACGTCCACGGCCCCGCGCAGCAGCATTGGCCCTATGCGTTGGGAAAGCGTTCCAGAGTTCAGAATCGGCAGTAGTGATTGCTCCAACACAGACACAGCACCATTGCAGACTTGCAGTTGCAGTTGGACACGCTCCTGGTTGAAGAAGACCTCGTGGTGCGCGAGCTCGACGGCCTGGTCAACGTCGGCGTCGTCCATGACGACGAAAGGGGACTTGCCACCGAGCTCCAGCGTCACCGGCTTCTGGTTGCTCCTCGCCGCCAGTTCCAGCACAATCTGCCCCGTGCCCGTCGATCCGGTGAACTCAAGCTGCACCAAAAACGTGCAAGTTGTTCAGGGATCCGATCAGTGCTGGGCACTGAAGCATGCATGGAAAGGCTGGGGTTGAGTTCAGTTACCTTGTCAAACACCCATGTGGCTACAGAGCGCGGCGCCGGTCGTCGTCAAGAAACACAGAAGAAATGATTAAGCTAGCTATCTGCACATTCATGCATGCGATACGTAACTAAACTAACGTACAAACTAGTAAATCTGCTCAGATAATCCAAGGTTATCAAATTGTAAATTCTCCGCAACAATTTGTTTGATTAATCAAACACAAACAGTTTAACTGAAAATTCAAATATAGGATTATAGGAAGAATTTTAATTTTAAAATTATGAAATTAATGACATATCCATGTAAAATGGGTTGCATTTGCTTTTTAACATATAAACTGACTATTTTTAGAGGTCGATACTTTATTTGTTATTTTTCTAAAAAAATAAAATATCAAAACAGCCTAGCAAAAACGGGGCCCAGCTTATCGGCTGGTGGAGGGCCGATAGGACCAATCGGCTGTCGGCACAATACGCGGACGGAAGCACGATACATGTGGCATAACATGTCGGCCGTTGGTAAGCGACAGGGTCCTATAATTTTTTTTCACAATTCCAATGTCACAGTCGCCTGGTTTTTCTCAGTCCGTTCAGGCGGGGTGAACCTGTGACGTGCTGAGTAGTACTAGTACAGTAGTCACTTCTCCTATATTATCCGAAAACAAGTACAGTAAATTATTACTTTTGTGTTTTGTTTTGTGTCTTTGTGTCATAATATATTAAATTTTGTCCTTATTTTTCTATAGAAAATAATTGTTAATTGTCTTTGTGCCAACAGGAATTAAATTTTTCCGGGTTTGTGGTTTTCGTTCTGAAAATTGCAGATTGCGTTTACAGAAACCGCAAATAAACATAATTAACAATTTTAGTATAAAATATATACAATAACCGTCGCCCGAAAGGAAACTAAAATTCAGAAAATCCCTTTTTTATTTTAGCTCTTAGTTCTGCAATTATTCATTAAAATATTACAACATCAAAAAAAATCAAACATGGCATCGTCGGTGGCTACGACCTACCTGCCTGATAGGGAACTGCGGTAGGTAGCAAGCGGCACTCGGGTGTAGTGGAGAGGGGGGATGGTGGCAGGCTGGCGGCTAGGCGTAGTGAGAACGCCGCATCGGAGCAGTCGTCGTGGACCACACCGCATCGACGCAGAGAACTCGACGGCGAGTGGTGACTAGTGGGTGGCGGTGGAGAGATAGGAATGCATGCAGGGGCGCTCGGGCACGGTGGAGAGGAAAGATGGCGCCAGGCAGGTGGCCGGGCGTGCCGCAGCCGTCGTTGTGGACCACGCCGGAACCAAGTGGACAGTGGAGGTCAGCGGCGAGTGCAAGTCACGTGTGTAGAGTCAGGTGAAGCCGGAATCCAAACGCTTTTGGAGTGGATTATTTTTTTTGAAAATTTCTGGAGCAGGGTTGGGGCCGTTGCGGTTGACGACAATGGGAGCGTCCGGACGCTTGGACGCCCTGAGATTATCATTTCCGCCGGATTTAAAGTTCGAGGAAGAAGCCAGGGTGTTTTTTACGGTTGTTTTATTGGTCACATTCTCCGGTGTCGAGCACCGGCGTGAATCGACGCAGCGCCGTGAGGAATAGGACGGGTGTGATTACAGCCACGCGGGGTCCTTGATGGGCGTGACAATGGCCTTGGTTTAGAGGTAGTTGCGGAGGGCGTAGATGCCCTTCTCCCGCCCGACGCCGCTTATCTTGTAGCCGCCGAACGGGATGGTGGCGTCGAACACGTCGTAGCAGTTCGCCCGCACAGTGCCCGCCCGTAGCGCCCCGGACAGCGTGTTGGCAGCGTCGAGGCCCTGCGTGAACACCCCCGCCGCCAGCTCGTAGTGCGTCGCGTTCGCGCGCCGGATCACCTCCTCCATGCCGCTGCCACAAGCATGAAAAGAGAGAGCACGCGTGTGGCGGCTCTGCACCGTTACTCGTCACGCCACGCAGACACACATTGCCCTGTGTGGCTATGTCACAAGATCATTCATGCGTCACCATGCGTTTGTACCTAAACTTGAGGATGGTCTGCGCCGGCCCGAATATCTCCTCCCGAGCGATCTTCATTTCGTCCTACATGAGCTAGACGCCACAAAAATGGTGCGGCCATTGAGCAAGTTGAGAACAAAATCAAAGGACGTGTTTTGGTAGAAGCTCGCTGAGCCTTACCTAGGCGTCGGCGAACACCGTCGGCTGTACGTAGAAGCCCCTGTTGCCTACCCTGTCGCCGTTGGTGACAAGGGTGGCGCCGCTGTCGACGCCGGACTAGGCGTACCGCAAGATCTTGTTGAATTGCTCATCGTCGATCCGACGACTCAGCGTAAGGAGAAGCTTTCAGGGCCGGGGTGGCTGAAATTGAAACGGATGCAGACGGACGACGCTGAGAAATAGAAGTGCGTACCTGAGGCCCCCTATTCGACACCGCTCCTGAAGGGGTCGCCGACCACGCGTTTCGGGGCGTGGGCCTTGGACTTCTCCACGAACTCGTCGTACACGCACTCGTGCACGAACGTCTACGGCCCCGCGTAGCAGCATTGGCCCTATGCGTTGGGAAAGCGTTCCAGAGTTCAGAATCGGCAGTAGTGATTGCTCCAACACAGACACAGCACCATTGCAGACTTGCAGTTGCAGTTGGACACGCACCTGGTTGAAGAAGACCACGTGGTGCGCGAGCTCGATGGCCTGGTCAACGTCGGCGTCGTCCATGATGACGAAAGTGGACTTGCCACCGAGCTCCATTGTGACCGGCTTCAGGTTGCTCCTCGCCGCCAGTTCCAGCACGATCTGCCCCGTGCCCGTCGATCCGGTGAACTCAAGCTGCACCAAAAACGTGCAAGTTGTTCAGGGATCCGATCAGTGCTGGTCACTGAAGCATGCATGGAAAGGCTGGGGTTGAGTTGAGTTACCTTGTCAACACCCATGTGGCTACAGAGCGCGGCGCCGGTCGTCGTCAAGAAACAGAGAAGAAATGATTAAGCTAGCTATCTGCACATTCATGCCTGCGATACGTAACTAAACTAACGTACAAACTAGTAAATCTGCTCAGATAATCCAAGGTTATCAAATAGGAAATTCTCCACAACAATTTGTTTGATTAATCAAACACAAACAGTTTAACTGAAAATTCAAATATAGGATTATAGTAAGAATTTTAATTTTAAAATTATAAAATTAATGACATATCCATATAAAATGGGTTGCATTTGCTTTTTAACATCTGAACTGACAATAATTTTAGAGGTCGATACTTTATTTGTAATTTTTCTAAAAAAATAAAATATCAAAACAGACTAGCAAAAACGGGCCCCTGCTTAGCGGCCGGTGGAGGGCCGATGGGACCTATCGGCTGTCGGCACTACATGTGGACGGAGGCACGATACATATGGCATAACATGTTGGCATTGGTAAGCCGACAAGGTCCTATAATTTTTTTTTCACAGTTCCTATGTCACAGTCGCCTGGTTTTTCTCAGTCTGTTCAGGCGAGCTGAACCTGTGACGTGCTGAGTAGTACCAGTACAGTAGTCACTTCTCCTATATTGTCCTAAAACAAGTGCAGTAAATTATTACTTTTGTGTTTTGTTTTGTGTCTTTGTGTCATAATATATTAAATTTTTCATTATCTTTCTATAGAAAATAATTGTAAATTGTTAGTTGTCTTTGTGCCAACACGAATTAAATTTTACCGTGTTTGTGGTTTTGGTCCTGAAAATTGCAGATTGCGTTTACAGAAACCACAATAAACAGAATTAACAATTTTAGTATAAAATATATGCAATAACCGTCGCATGAAAGAAAACTAAAATTCACCAAATCCGTTTCTTATTTTAGCTCTTAGTTCTGCAATTATTTATTAAAGTATTACAATATCAAAAAAAAATCAAGGCATCGTCGGTGGCTACAACCTACCTGCCAGATAGGGAACTACGGTAGGCAGCAAGCGGCACTCGGGTGTAGTGGAGAGGGGGGTTGGTGGCAGGCTGGCGGCTAGGCGTAGTGAGAACGTCGCATCGGAGCAGTCGCCGTGGACCACACCGCATCGACGCAGAGAACTCGGCGGCGAGTGGTGACTAGTGGGTGGCGGTGGAGAGATAGGAATGCAGGCAGGGGCGCTCGGGCGTGGTGGGGAGGAAGGATGGCGCCAGGCAGGCGGCCGGGCGTGCCGCAGCCGTCATCGTGGACCACGCCAGAACCAAGTGGCCAGTGGAGGTCAGCGGCGAGTGCAAGTCACGTGTGTAGAGTCAGGTGAAGCCGGAATCCAAACGCTTTTGGAGTGGATTATTTTTTTTTGAAAATTTCTGGAGCAGGGTTGGGGCCGTTGCGGTTGACGACAATGGGAGAGTCCGGACGCTTGGACGCCCTGAGATTATCATTTCCGCCGGATTTAAAGTTCGAGGAAGAAGCCAAGGTGTTCTTTACGGTTGTTTTATTGGTCACATTCTCCGGTGTCGAGCACCGGCGTGAATCGGCGCCGCGCCATGAGGAATAGGACGGGTGTGATTACAGCCACGCGGGGTCCTTGATGGGCGTGACAACGGCCTTGGTCTTGAGGTAGTTGCGGAGGGCGTAGATGCCCTTCTCTCGCCCGACACCGCTCATCTTGTAGCCGCCGAATGGGATGGTGGCGTCGAACACGTCGTAGCAGTTCACCCACACAGTGCCCACCCGCAGCGCCCGGGACAGCGTGTTGGCCGCGTCGAGGCTCCGCGTGAACACCCCCGTCGCCAGCTCGTAGTGTGTCGCGTTCGCGCGCCGGATCACCACCTCCATGCCGCTGCCACAAGCAAGAAAAGAGAGAGCACGCGTGTGGCGGCTCTGCACCGTCAGTTGTCACGCCACGCAGACACACATTGCCCTGTGTGGCTGTGTCACGAAATCATTCATTCGTCACAATGCGTTTGTACCTAAACTTGAGGATGGTCTGTACCTGCCCGAATATCTCCACCCGAGCGATCTTCATTTCGTCCTACATGAGCCAGACGCCACAAAAATGGAGCGGCCATTGAGCAAGTTGAGAACAAAAATCAAAGGACGTGTTTTGGTAGAAGCTCGCTGAGCCTTACCTAGGCATCGGCGAACACTGTCGGCTGTACGTAGAAGCCCCTATTGCCTACCCTGTCGCCGCCGGTGACAAGGGTGGTGCCGCTGTCGACGCCGGACTGGGCATACCACAAGATCTTGTTGAATTACTCGCCGTCGATCCGATGACGTAGCGTAAGGAGAAGCTTTCAGGGCCGCGGTGGCTGAAACTGAAACAGATGCACACGGATGACGCTGAGAAATAGAAGTGCGTACCTAAGGCCCCTGTTCGACACCGCTCCTGAAGGGGTCGCCGACCACGCGTTTCAGGGCACGGGCCTTGGTCTTCTCCATGAACTCATCGTACATGCACTCGTGCACGAACGTCCGTGACCCCGCACAGCAGCATTGGCCCTATGCATTGGGAAAGCGTTCTAGAGTTCAAAATCGGGAGTAATGATTGCTCCAATATAGACACAGCACCATTGCAGACTTGCAGTTGCAGTTGGACACGCACTTGGTTGAAGAAGACCTCGTGGTTGGATTGCTCTCTTTTTTAATTTCACTCAACCCACAGTTGCAGTCCAAGAGTAACAAATGTGAATCACGAGATTGACAATATGCACAAGTGCTCAAGTGGTTGGATTGCTCTCTTTTTGAATTTCACTCAACCCACAATTTGATTTGGAAAATTTGATCAATCACTCACTAAGAGAGGGTTGGGAGAGTAGGCAAGGCTCAAAAACGTGTGTGTGTATCAGCAGAATCAGCAGCCTCCAAAGGTGGAGGCTTTGGGGTATTTATAGTCCCCTTGGAAAAACTAGCCGTTTTATAGCCGTTGCCATACCGGACAGACTTACACCGCGCCAATGGTATCTGAGTTACAGTAACATTGTTAGGCGTCGGAACTCTCGATGAATGTCAAAACTTCCGACCATTGGAACTCCCGACTCACGTCGGAACTCCCAACCCTCAGCATATTTGAAAACTAAGTAACTGAGTTGAAGTTTGTGAGGTATCGGAACTCCCGACGCATGCCGAAACTTCCAACCGTCAGAACTCCAGACTCACGTCGGAACTCCCAACCCTCAAGGCAATTGAAAACTAGTCATTGGCCTCTGGTCGTCCATACCGGACACGTCCGGTATGACCAGGACAGTGAACCATCTAAGTCAGTTAAGCGTGAGACATCGGAACTCCCGACCATTGTCGGAACTCCCGACGAACCAACCCAAGAACAATAAGAATTTTATCGTGGCTGGGCACATACCGGACACGTCCACGTCCGGTATTGCTAGATCAGCAAAAACACAGGTTAGCTTTTTTGTCTCTCAAACACTCAAAACTCACATAGGTTGGCTTGAGCACTTATGAAACATTATCTATCAATATGATGCATCCCTCTTAATAGTACGGCATTCCTATTAACTCAAATTTAAAAGTATAATCGAATTTAAACCTTTTAAGTTGATCTCTTTCAAATGAAGCCGTGTATTCCATTCTTCATCAAGTGAGGGTGCCAACATGTTGATATTAATCTTTTCACTTGAGCATAGCCATCTTGAGCACGTGACTTGATTCCACTCATCAAATTTGAGTAATCCCAAATGTATCAAGTCACTTCCATCAAACATTCCAATAGTGATTTGACCCTCCACATTAACATGACCATTATAGCTTGATTAGTACCTCAACTAAATGCAAGTACTTCCTTCTTCACCCTAGCTAGGTTCTTCGGCCGCCAAGCCGCCGCTTGCCCTTCACCCTTGCTTAGTACCTCGAAGTCTTTCCTTGCTATCTTCACCATCTTAAGCGATCAAGTCACATCTTGTGTTGAATCATCCATTCATTTATATTGTTATCTTTTTTCATTTCAATTTAGCAAGCTTCAAATATGAGACCATTCCATATGCAATCCCTCATGTCTCATTAATTAATTCTTACGAGCTTGCTTTCACATAGTACATGGAAATCCCACAATAAATAAGTCTTTGTATGAATTCCATTTGCATTGTTGTCTTGTGCTTGAACTAGATTGTTTATACAACAACACATCATTTTGGCTTTCATTAAGTACCGGTGAGATAACCTATTTCCTGTCCACACTTAGCAAACGAGTTAGACGTTTAATCATGTTGTCATTTAATCATCCAAAACCCACAAAAGAGCTAGATGCACTTTCATAGAGTCAGGTGAAGCCAGAATCCAAACGCTTTTGGAGTGGATTATTTTTTTTTGAAAAGGCAAGTTATTTTAGCATGCATAGTCCTTATGAAAATCAATATAACACATGTATGTCACACATAGCACTCATTACAAATTTTCTCAAGTCCACAAGCCACTAATATAATACAAATAAAGATCATGTCTCAAGAGATACATAGATAAAGCATAAGTAAGTCTCATCTCTCACATGATACAATCTATCTCAAACTCAAGATACATCAATGAAGCTCAAAAACGAAAAACTACAGCCTGCAGTACATATCTTCAGGTAAAAAGATAAGCAAAAGAGACAAATATCCTGAAGCTTTTAATCAGTCTCTCTCCCCCTTTGTCATCTATCACCACAAAGGTCCAACAATGACAAACTAAGGACAAAGGGGCTGCAAGCTGTCTCTGAAAGCTATGATCACTCATCATCATCTTCATCTCTACCAGCATCCTCATCATCTGAGCATGTAGCATCGGCTAGACGAGAACCACCCGCACCAGACGGGTCATAGAAACTACATGTGAGGTCACTCCACCAGTCTAAAGCATACTCATCTACAGCACTAGGACGTGGCTGAGAGTGAGTAGGCAACCGAGCCTATAGTGGTAAAGTGTTAGGGTGCTTTGGAGCCTGCTGCTGCTGTCGCTGAAGGAACTCAGTAAACTCAACGTCTTTCCTGCCCTGCTGCTGCTACTCCTCAGTCTTAGGCTCACTAGCTGCCTCATCTGATAGTGGAGACCTAGGAGGATCAAGCTCAAGTCTAGAAGCAATTTGCTTCAACGTCCGATTATCCTTCCTCCTAGCCTCCCTCTCCTTCTGCTGATAGGTCCGTATGTCCTTGCACATCCCAAAGATAGCACTGAACATCTTGCGAATAGGAGAAGGAGGACTACGGTGATGTGAAGAAGAATGTGAAGGAGCATGTGGTAGAGGGGAAGCTTGTCCTGCTGCTGCAGGACCTATAGGTGCATCTGCCTCTGGTGCTGCTGCTGCTCCTCCTAGTCCTACTGGAGGTACTCCAACCTCTGGCAAATCTACAACAATCTTCAGGGCCTTAAGTACCTTGTCATACTCAAAGGTATGCCCTGTGACCTGCTCAATCATGTGCATGATGTAGGGAGCAAAACCACAGCCCTTGAGGGGCCTCTTGCCGACACTCCTTATCTCGCACCATATGAAATCAAAGACGCTAAAAGGTCGTGCATCAGGTGCCATCCTATGGAGCAGGTTCCTGGACTAATATGCAATGTTTCCCTTGTCTTCACCCTTGCAGTCAATGGTCTTCATGAACATCCTGTCCAGGTATCTATAGGTAGGGTGAAGACCTAGAACCTTCTCCACTACTCCTCTCTCACCTCTTGGTGGATACATGTAGGCGAGCTGCTCTGGAGGCAACACCTGCTCTATGTGGATCCTATCTTTCTAAAGATCATCATCTGAGAAGCCAAGTAGAGCTACAAAAGCATCATAATCAACACTGTACCACTGGCCCTCAAGCATCTAGTGCATACGCCTCTCATCCTCCTCAACATATAGAGTGGCATAGAATTGAGCAATCACCTCAGTGTTCCAGTCATGCTAGAACTCCATGATCTCATATACCCCTATATGCTCACAAATAGCAATAGCATGATCAATGGAGGCCTTCTGTAAATCTCTAATGTACTGCTAGTCAATCCACTGAGACCTGGCAATCACTGGGTTCCTGGTGAGGATCACACTGGTGTAGTAGTCCATATGAAAGGATGTCTAAAACCGATGATCAAACTAAATCCTAGACAAGCCCCTTGGATCAATTCTTCTTTCATCTCTGGCCCTTCTGGTCATGCCTTTCCCTCGATAGTCAACTCTGACAACATAAGAGGGTACACTAGGTGGATGTGGCTCAAGTAAACCATAGTGCATACCCTGACCTACATAAGAGGGTACACTAGGTGGATGTGGCTCAAGTAAACCATAGTGCATACCCTGACCTGGCTGGTGCTAAGCTAGAGGTACTGCCTGCTCCTCCTCAATCTCTTGCTCATCATCTGAGCTGCCACCATCTGAACCTCTGTTAGTGCTCTTCCTCTTTCTAGTACTGGGCTCCACTCTATACTCCTCTGTATCTGTGTTAGAGGAAGAACTAATGTCTCCCTCTTTGTACTGTGGATCACCCCTAGTAGCCCTAGAGAGTCCCCTATTGCTGCACTGCTCCTGCTGACTGTATCTAGGATGCATTTCTTGTCTTGCCTTCTTGTATTTCTCCAAAGCTAGATCATGCCTATGCTTGGACCTAGGCTCCTGTCTTCCACTCATGGCTGCTGTCCTGTATCCAAAGATATGCAAAGAATTTTAGATACTTGCCCAACCGATAGCTTATTTTAGTCAAAATATAGAAATAAGAATAATAATCCTATGCTTTGTAATCACCTCAACCAAACTAGGTCACAAGATTTACAAAACACAATAGACAATTAAACTTAGTCCTATGAATCAACCACTGAGAAGATTGAAACAAGGGAGCAAAACCTGCTCTGCTATCCCATACCGGACA